CTCCCTTGCTCTTAGACTTAACCTTCCACTTGCCACCCTCCACCGAATCCACAACCATCACCTCCGTCTCGAACCTCACAATCTCAGATATCCCAAACTCGCTCGCAAAGTCCTTCAAATACCTCAACACCTCTCTGTGACCCGGAAACCTTCTCGGGTCTCTCTCTTCGTCTTCTTCTTTGGCCACAAATGGGTAGTCCCTGAAACCCATGGACTCTCTCGGGAGGTTCGTCCGGAGCGACTGGTACATGCTCGAGTGGACCGTGGTCCGATCCGGGTGGAGCCCAAGTGGGTCAGATTCTACCTTCGGAGTGTAGACCCACGTGCCACCCACTTGGTCTCCTCGCTCAAAGACCACGACTTTGTGGCCTTCTCGCCAGAGCTCACGTGCTGCGACCAGGCCGCCGGCGCCGGCGCCGATGACTGCCACTTGGCGGGAGGCCAGTGGGTTGAGAGCGAGCTGCATGGTCGAGTTGTGGACGAGAGTTTGGCAGAAGACGGTACCTTGCGTTTTGGGTTTGGGCCGTATGGCTGTGAATTGTGATCGAGTGATGCTGTTTTAAGAAGTTACCAAAATTCTCTTGACCAAAAAAAGAAGTTACAAAAATTCTTTGGAAAATTTTCATAATTATTTATTACGAATGTGATTAATGCTAAAGTCAAAAGCTAAGCTGGATCCAAAGTAAATTTTCAATCTGTTCGCACCTTGAATTTGATCAAACCATCTACTTGGACTTTCTTCCAACTATATAACACTTCGAATCTCATTTAAAAGCTGTAAGCTGTGTGTGGGATGAGTTACTGTTTATGGTTGGCCCCTAGTAGAATTATTTAGGGCCTTAGAGAGGCGGTAATTTACTTCGTGTCGGATGTCGGCAGTTCGAGTGCTTTGGGATTTGTTTTGGTAGCACAAAGGAAAAAAAAATTGGAACATCAACTTCCATTTCAAGCATGAATTTATTAATCAATGATTCAGATTAATTAAGACCGCAAACCCTTCTGACGAAAAAAAAATTAAATACATTTGTTATTCGAACCAGAACCCAAACCCTTATGACCAAAAAAAAAAATTTACCAACCACTTAAACATCCCCTTACTGAGGGACAGGAACACATCAAGATTTCCTGGGATATTTAAGATGAACTTCAAAAGAAACAAGGTGGTCGCTTGTTTCACCTTGAACTGGGCGGGACATCATTAGATGTCACGTATCCATTTTCAACTCCATTTAAGGTGTATTTTCTGAAGTCCTCATGAGCTTGCAATACTAAATGGTGATCTTCCCACTCGTCCTTGTATGTCTCCGGTCGTGCAAACAAGTTCTCTATAGCTACAAAGTACATTTGCTTTCTCCATTCTTCAAAGGCTGGACAGCCACACTCAGCTGCAAGCCAATCGTCGTATCCAAACTGCAGAATAACAACACTCAATATTTATCTCGTTCATCATAAACAGACACAAGTATGAAGATTAGTAAAATTTATGGTGAGAGGAAAAAGATAATGATAATGAGTGGTGATTTCCCCACTCATTTTTCTCATATTTTATCCACTTACACTCCTTTTTTAGTTATAAAGATCAGCAGCATATATCATATTATTCTTCCCATTAGTATTTTCATTTATATCCAAAATGAATATACATGCAGATTTATTTAGTGCAACTGAAGGCTCCCAACAGACTAGAGAGAGATGAAACGGCATTCTGTCCAAGGCCAAGAATCACATTGATTGGTTTTTAAAGACCTAATATATGATGTTTAGACATGATATATGTGCTTAAATTATCTTATTTGCATAAGTTCATCATGTGGGGATCCAGTCAAGGATATCTGAAACAAGACATCGTTTAGCAATTACATTGTAGCCAGTGCTCTCAACCACGGATGACGAATGCATTTGTGCTATGGTCATATGGGTTGAGAATAACTAACATAGGCAGTCAACCAAAGAGAGTGAATTTACCTGATAATCAGCAATGTTATGAGTGTATCTCTTGGGGGTGCCAGAAGCTTCGAGTAAAGAGTAGAAAGCTTTGACGTCCTCCATCATCTCCTCTCGCGATGGAAGTGCGATTCGGTTAGACAAAATACCTGCTATCCACTTGCTTTGAAATTCAAACATGGGGAAAGGAGCAACCTGGCACGGAGATATTCAAAGATTTACTTCAACCATAAAAAAACAATGAACCTAAAGATGCAACAAAAATATGGCATATTATATAAAGAAGAGAAATACCTTCCATGGTAACCCAACAAAGGAAAGTGACGGAGCCAAATCGGGTGGGAAGACATGCTTGTACAGAGGCCCAACACGGTTGTCATCCACAGTCACAATGCCATTGGTCTCAAGGAAAGGGAAATGAAATTTGTACCTTGAAATAGGGTAAAAAAAAAAAGGGATTTCAATTTTGTGCACTTTCCATTACTTGACAGTCAATATGGAACACTACAACATAGCATGAAGTCCAAAACAAGCCAAAGCAAGTATACCCTGTGCAGTGAAGAATGACATCCGCAAGGACAACACTCCCATTTCGGAATGCAACACTACCATCTTCCTGGACACTTTTGATCTGCATTGGTTTAACATTTAAAAATGATCAGTACCTCGAATCAACCATCCTTTGAGCATCAGGCTCAAAGAAAGTTGAACATTCTCTGGATGAACTTCCCATCAAAGCCACCCAATTCTTAACCATGGCTGAAGTCTTTTACCATAGAATGAAGCCACATGTTATTATAGACTGGCTGCTTTTCAATGGTTTCATCAGCAACAGATCTAGATGCAATGTGGACTTGTTTTGCAACTCCAGCTATGTCTCGTGAAATATCAATAGCACTAGTGGCGCTCCCTATCAAAATTACTACCTATGCAAAGCAAGAAATGGATAAAATAAGCTACATACTATATAGAGTAAAAAGAAAACAAAAACACAAGTAGGTTATAAATTCCTATAGGATGCAGAAAGTGGCAACACAGACCTGATCTCGAAATGGCTCAGGGGTACGATAATTGTGGCTGTGGATTTGCTTCCCTTTCCATGTATTGATGCCTGAAAAACAGTGTACATTGCATAAAGCAGAAGAAGAAAAGTAAAAACCAAAACACAAGCCTGAACTCAGCATTAAGAAAAATATCTCATTCCATAAATTTTAGCTAAGAAGTTCAACCCTGTAACCTCAGAAGTTCCTTTTATGAAGATCTTCTCAAATTGCACTCTACCAAAAGTAATTTTCTTCCTTCAACCAATACAATTGTACACTCACACAAGGCAGAATCAATCAGGTACCTAAACCAATATTAAAGGTCCAAAACTTTGTGCCTTAAATAAATAAAAAAGATCCGAAGGATCACAACCCAATTCGATTCATATTCCTCATGAACAAATCTCAAAGAAACCAATACAAAGTTCAGAGCTTTAGCAACGATATTGATACCTGGAATTTGGGCAACACAGGGCTCAGTATGATGCCCATTACACACAACCACAGCATCAAAAATCTCATCCTCCACAACCTCACCTCTCTTACTCTTGGACTTCACCTTCCACTTGCCACCCTCCACCAAACCCACAAACACCACCTCAGTCTCGAACCTCACAATCTCAGAGACCCCAAACTCAATCGCAAAGTCCTTCAAATACATCAACATCTCTAATGGGGATCGGGATCAGGATACAGGTCACCAACCACATACACGAGCACCGAAATCTAGGGCTAGTGCAAACTCACATATATCGTAGCAAAT